GAAGTAAACACGAGTAAACATCAAGGGCCTGCGTCCTCGGGACTTCCAGCGAGGACGAGCTGGCTCCTTCTCGGGTACTGGCGTGGACAGGTTCCATTCCCCAGTCGTGAACATCGACAGAACGGTCATTAGGGCCTTCGTGTTCGTCCCAAGTGTTGACAGGACGCCCTAAAATCTATCAACCACTCGCCCGCCGGCACGGCTCGATCCAAGGACGGCGTCGTGTCTCCGGTAAACGCCGAGAGACCCAACAGCCACTTGTTCCACCAAAAACAACACCAAAAAAAAAAAAAAAAAAAAAAACACAAAAAAAGAGAAATAAGAGAAGGAAGCCGGAAAACCTTCTCTCTGAGACGGGGGCGTGATGCCGACAGGTCCTTCAGATTGCTGAAAAAATTGTCGATGGACGAAATTGCTTCGGTCGTGCAAAGGTTTTCTGTTTGAAGCAAAAATAAAAAAAAAAAGAGTTTCGGTGGCTTCATCAAAAGTGAGTTTTTATATGGGGATGCCGATCGGGGTTACCTACCCCTTTGGGCCGAAACGACAGTCCAACTCTCTCTCCCGCATGAATGCGCGCCACGTCGCATTAAACACGCAAACGTTTAAAACAGTAATGGCCCTCGTTTCGGTTACGTACGCCACTACATTGCCCAACGGTGCCAAGCTCAGCGCGCAGAGCAGTATATGTGCCTGACCTGTCTTAGCGCGCGCAGACCGTATGGCACGTGAAAACACAGTTCGTTGAACCTGTTCACAAGAGAGCGCCCCTCATATCCAGGCGTAAGGTGTAGACTGTAGGGCGCTCTGACTGAGGAACTGCATGAGGTCATGTTCGCTCAGAGGGTCGGTACCGAGCTCTTCTGTTCAGGTCGGAGCGAGTAAACTTCAACGTAACTTAGTTTCCAAGTTCCGAAACCTTTCGAACCTTAAAAACTAGGGGGCTTTGTTATCCTAGGAAATAAAGATGAGTGGAAATCGCGTGAAGGGCGACCTCTCCCGTAAGAGCAACACGCACCGTCAGACCTGTCAAGCGATGTGGAGCCCACACGCGTCCTTTCCTGCCACAGTCGTGCAATGTCAGCTTGGAAAAAGGAAATGGGACATAAAGCCTATATACACTGACATCCAACCTACCACGGATTTAGCAATGATTATACATTTCAGTCAGTATAAAATAGGGAAGGCCCCTTCATTAGGGGGATTCGGCCATTTAACATAAAAAGAACAAACAGAAACTCTCATCCTCTGTAAACTTTGCTTTGACCTTTTTACGTCTGTTGTAGAGTCAGAAGCTCGCGACCGCGCCTGACACCCGACCCAATAGTCATAATCCAACAAAATAGTGTACGTAGGACTTGCTATCCTTAGCATCCGAAACCCACATAAAAACTCTCTCTACAGCTATTTTAACTTTCACGATACCCTGATCACGTCATCAACACGTCAAACTTGACTATTACATTGTGAAACAATCGTTGGTGCATTGAATTCATTTGAGATGTCAGACTTATCTTGGAATTTATTTTGAAGGAAATTCCTGAGCATATTTCTAACTTCTGAATTTACAAACCTTAATACTTCTTGGTTGTTCAAATCTCAGAAGTTATCTCACAATGCAGAAGATACCAGTCTTAGATATTTGAAATAACTAAAGAGATTGGAGAATGGATGCAAGTTTCACCGGCCTCCGACATTGGTTTGGCAAGGTTGTGATAGCTCGAACTCATTGCCATACAATATAAAAGATCTGAAAGGATTGAAGAGCTGGTGATACACGTTGTCGAAGATTAATCTGAAGAGTATTTGCAACAAGACCCCAACTCGAGCAAACGGACTCGCAAAGCGGCGACCCAACCACTGGACTGACACTCTAGAGTACCTGCGGATTGAAGCATGTCCAAAGCTCAAAGAATTACCACCATGGCTTGCGAGTCTCAAAGCACTTAAAAAACTTGAGATTTTAATTGCCCAGAACTGTCATCTCTGCCGACGGATGCAGAACCTCACCAACCTTAGAGAATTGAAGATACAAATTGTCCTACGCTGAGTAAAGACTGCAGAAGAATTGCCGGAAATTTCTCATGTGCTGGAGATTCAACTGGATTCCATGATAGCTTCTTTGATGAATTGACTAATGAATAAAAGCCAGGTATGTGAAAATTTCTCTCTAACTCTTTATATGTTTCAATGCAATAACTCTATTTTTTTATGCTGCCGTAAATGGAAAGTTTTATCCAATATTGATAAATAGCTACGATGAAAAGTCTTTATATTATTGTCATCTACTACAAACTAGAAATATATATACTTTGATAGACGATAAATTTCATGTTTTGTTTATGTAGTTTCCTAGTACATTTTGTTTCTGTAGGCTTTTTAATTCATCGGAGAAATATGATTATTTGTAAGTAACATATAAATTCATAAATCCTTTCACATAGATTTTCTTGATGTTATAAATTCTATATTAATTAATAATTTTGATTTTATTATTTGTATTTGATGGATATTATTGATTTTACACATCTCGGAAAAAAATCAATAAAAAAAAAGAAAGAATCATAATTGATCGATATATCCTAAATCTGATGAAGAATCATAATTGATCGATATATCCCAAATTTGATGAGATAGATGAATTGAGACTTCTTTTTAAATACTTAATGGTCTTGAATATATAGTATGACACACTTTCCTTTGCTCCATGCTGCCCACCGAATGACTCGAATTTTTCATTGCAGAAGCCTTTTTTTCTTTTTTTAAGTGATATATAAAGCATTTTTTTTTTTAAGTGATATATAATATAACCTTTAAGAGAGTAAATTTGTTTCTCTGACCTATTACTTATTGAGTAACTTGAATTATTCAACTGTTGCAGCTTCCCCAGAGATTCTGGCAAAGTCTTCAACCAGTGGAAGAAGTTTCGATTCGGAGTCCTGCTAATTGTGATGCTGCTTTTTTCTTTTTTTTCTTTTTTTAATCTTTTGGTTCTTGAATTGTTATTTTGGTGTATTTGTCACTTCTTGAAATCTGTGGGTGTGTTGTATTTTCATTAAATTTATGCTTGATTCAGTTAATCATGTTTGTATTAGATAATGCTTTGGAACGTTTCCCAATCTACTGTTTGTTTGGTTATCTCTATTGCTTATATATTTTCCATTTGTTATATCATGTATCATATATTCAGAATGCATTTCTTTTGTCAGAAAGCATGCTTTCCGTTAAATTAAAGACAGCATGATGTTCAGACTAGTCAAACACAAAGGTTGACAGTCCCTTCCATGGTTAGTGGCATGGGGCTCATTCTTGTTTATATTCAGCGGAAGACAATCAGTTCGAATCCTTCTCCTAACTGGGATGAAGTCCTCATACCAGGCCCAATCCCTGAATTAAACAATTTGGAAAGGAATAGGAATCCTAATTTTAATTTAACATTGTTGTGACCCATGTATACTCAGGTCTTCCTCAAAGCTCCAGCCTATGGTTTATCACTGGCATTGGGCCAATTCATTGAGTTTTCAATAACTTGGACAGGCTGATTTGAAGGGCTCTGGTTGGTTGTATTTTAGCTCATCCGACATCTCATCCACATAGGAATTATTAGTATTGACTACTAGCTCGTTAAAATGAATTTTCTTGTTATCTATTTATTTATTTTTATTTTTTATGATCAGAGTGTTTGGGTCAGTTTATGCACATCTCTTCTCAATTGATCTTCAAGACCTTAAAATTACCGACCGAGTAAGAGCTCTAATGATCACCCCTATTAGTAATCGAAAAAAGACTCAAACTCAGGACATTTTAAGTAATACACTCAAAAGACTTTATCAAACCACTTGGTCATAAAGAGGTTAGTTATTTCCTTTTCTTTTTATTCTATCTCCAAAAATTTTGAAATTGTGTCAAGATTCTCGAAGATTCAAAGGATGTTTAATGATTTTTCTAGAGTTGGAATTAGCATTTAAGACACTATTATTTTTCCCTTTTAGCTGAATCACGATAATTTTAAATTTTTTTTTTTTTTTTGACCTCTCTTATTCATTAGGTATTACACTTTGACCCCTTTTAAATTTACTCTTTTTTTTTTTTTTTTTAATTTCATTAATTTTTCATAGTTTGATCTTCCTCCCTTTTTCTTAACATTACACTTTAAATATATTCAAGCCTCAAAACTTTATAAGAATTTTATATGAATAATTATTTATTTAGTCCCAAGTACGAATGCTACTCCATGGCCCACCCTCAAATTTTTCTTAAAAATATTAATATGTATAATTTCTGAATTTTGGCACACCCTAACAGAAATATTAATGGACAAAGATATTAATGTGCAATTAGTTTTTATTTTGATTTACCCTAAGAGAAATTTCTGGATCCGTCCTTGTTTGGTCCCTTTAAACATTGAAAAGAGATTTCAAAAAAGAAAAGAAAAGAAAAAATCTGAAACTGAAAGTTTAACAATTTTGTTTTTAAAAGTTTATTGTTAGAATAAATGAACACTTTTTTTTTTTTATTCATTTTTCAATTATTATACATTTATTTTATATTTACTAAAATTAATGTATAATTAATTATTAAGTTAATCAATAATATAATTAGTTGAAATATAATTTTAAAATTGTAAAAATATTTACAGAATAAAATTATAAATATCCATTCTAGTAAGTATACATCCAACATCACTTTAAAAATAAAAATGCCAAACACATATAACTAAAAAATTTCAAAAAACATAACAAACTTAAAAAATAAATCTTTCCAAACGCTATTCAAAGCTTATTATTTTCACATCACAGTAAAAAGATTAAGGTTTAATTAAATAACAAATATTTTCACATCACAATAAAAAAATTAAGGTTTAATTAAATAATAAAAATCTTTGCAAAGTTTTTGAAATAACAAAAATCTTAATATCTTTAAGGTTTAGGTATTAAAATTAATCTCAGAAAGCAAGTCTATAAATATCTATAAACTCATAATATTGTAACTTTTAAGGGCTATTAAAGATTCATTAAGAAGAGGAAGAATTTTGTTATTACATCAAGCAGGATGTTATCTAATCACTCTGGAGTACAAATATCTATAGAATACAAATAGGATGCTACTTTTTTATTATCTAATCACTCTGGAACGAGAGTAACTTCAACAGTTTCTCTCTGACTTATCGAATTACTTGGTCGAGGACACGTTTGCTTGGCTTTCTGAAAAGGCCAGGCTGATAGGTGTAAATGAACAAGTGCCATATGAGGGAAAATTGCGAAGCCACAAACAAGAGCATGGGCAAACAGGCTGATACAACCACTAAACCGAGCATCAAATATGCCTTTTTCTCATAAAAAATCTGATAAACAGTGGTTCCAAACGCTACCATCATTGAGGTTATGGAGATGAACATGATAACAACTCCCAATATGAACTTTCTGGGAAGGGCCTTGAGAAAATCATCTTGTTTGTAGCGTGCAGTGATGATGGACATGAATATTATGGCGGCCGCAATCGATGAGAACAAGGAGAGTGCATCTGAAAAGCCAAATGTCATGAACACACTCAATTTATCATAGCCACTAGTTCCACCGAACGCTGCTTGAAAAACTAGTGTGGCAGTCACTGTTGCGGCTACTATGCATGATGTCGCTGCTTCCTTCATCCATTTCTCACCTTCTGTAACAAGTTTCTTATGGGACTTATGGAATACCACTGCCGGAGTTTCTCCTACACAATTTATTTCGTTTTTGCACTCGGCAGGTACAATGTTCTCTACTTCCTGTATAACATAAACTTTGTAATTACAAAATAACATAGTTATATATGAAAGAACAGAAATAACGAAAATGTATATAAAACCCAAAACAATGTCTACTAAGTTAGGAGGACTTAAGTGTTATAAACTAAATTCTAGACTCATTCCCTAATAATGTATAAGTAGGATGTGACAAGTGACTTGAACATCACCCAAAACATGTCTACTTGGTTAGGAGGATGAAAAACTGAATCTAAGGCTCATTCACTAGTAAAGTATAAATTAATTATGTGTAAGGAAGCTTAGATTCATTAACGAGTTAAACTAGTTTAACATCATGTGTGTGTGTATATATATATCTTATTTTTTACTCCCCCCCTAGTCATGCAGTAGTGCAAAAAGCAGCTATTTCAATGTTTATATCAGAAGTCTTACCTTATACCACTGTAACTCACGTTGCATTTGAAAAGCTGCACCAGCAATGACATTTAGTTTATTTTCAGGAGCTAGCTTTCCAGCTAAATGCAAGATGTTGTTCTTGTCGACGTCTTGAGACATTAATAACAAATGTTTGTGATCAGTCATTTGATATATGAGTTTAAATACTTTCTCTTGACGATTCATGACTGCTAAGTGGAACAGATTTTGATTCTTTTCATTCGTAAACCAGATTGCATCAGGATATGACTTTATAATCTCTTCCACAATTTCACAGACCCCCATTTCTGCCCCTAAAAGGAGCGGTCGCTTTAATATCAAAGAAGTTGTTCTATAGTCATTTCTATCGTCTGCAATTACCTTGCACAAGTGTTTGACAAGTTCAAGTACTTTGTAATCACTCATCAACTTTGTCTCTCCTATTTTTTTTGTATAGCTCGTAACTGCAAATTAAATAGGTTCAACTGTCAACAATGACAGTGACTGTATACATAACCGAGTAAAGTACTGTAAGTCATAAGTTTGTTCCTTCTTTTGGAATTTGAAAAAATAAATTTCAATCCTTTTTCATTTGAAATATCTTCATTTGTAGAATATTAGTCGAACAATATTGTTTATTAATACAAAATCAGAAGAAAAATAACATTGATGTCAGAAAGAAGTATATATCCTCACCCTTAGAAACACCGACGTATCCCCAAAACGGTAGCCTTTTTGTTCTTCCACTCGGAAATGCTGATGGCTTTTTGGTTATTTCACTCAACAGAGATTCACCACCATAAAATGTCATTGTCGCTAAACTTGGATGTTTTTTAATCAAGTCTAACGCCAAGTCTAACGCCAAGTCTAAGACATAATGATCGACATGAATTTATTAGCTAGGATCACTAATTTGAAATTTCGACATTAAGAAATTTACTGAAAATACGTCTCAATAAAGTAAATGAAACTTTCAACGGCATGTATTGAAAGTTAGCAAAAGAAAGAATTAACTCACCATAAAATTCAGCAGTTATAAGCAACTTTACTAAAAGAACGCCCGATGTAAAACGTGTTGCAGAATCATAGTCCAAATAATTGTTGCTGAATTGCAATAAATAGTTGATCATCTTCTTTTGGCCATGTCGAGTGGCCTGAATCAAAGGTATCCTTTTAGACTTGTTTGAATCTTGAATTAAAGTTTGATTTCATCTTTCTTCATTATCATGCAGCCTGCTTGGACATTGCCAACAATTGCAGCAATGGAAAGAACAGTGTTACCTTCTTTATTTTTCAGAAACAGTTGATGCATTGACATCCGATCCAGTAGATACTCCACAATATGATTTGCCTTGCCTGTCCCAACAGCTACATGAAGAGCTGTGTCCAAGTTTACCGTAATCCTTGTTAAGATTTTCATAATATTTTGTATATATTTTGTAATCAAGTGAATATTATGTAATCTTTTAGTTATGTCAAGTATACGATCTCAGAATATTCTAGAGATTATGTAATCTCCTAATTATGTCAGACAAAATATTGTGTAATCTATAATTGACTAATTAGGAGATTTAGGAGATCGTATACTCCCTATATAAAGGGTGTAACTCCTTAGTGATAAATCAATGAATTGAAAACCCAATTCTTTCAAACAAACATGGTATCAGAGCCACTCTCTGATCTCTAAAAAAATTCTCATTGTAGAGCAGCCATCGGAAAAATCACAGTGAGTAATCATCCCATCGTCGTCAATCCAAGAGAAAAACGACTGCAATCATCCAATCCTCCAAACTTCAATCACCAAGAAACACCACCACGCTGACGTCAACACGATCTGTTTCCGGTGACTCTGATCGGCAGTTGCTGTGCCACCGTAACTTGCCGTGTGCTTGTTGAGTGTTTGTTTTTAAACTTTTTTTTTTTTCCTTTTTTCTTTATTTTTCTTTTATTTATTTATTTATTTTTATTCTTAAGTAATATTAAAAAAAAAAAAAAAAAACAGGGTTGGATGTGTGGAGAAATTCTACGAAACTCAGTTCCAAATTTGGAAGCAAGTTACTCAGAGACGACTAAACCCGACATGCTCAATAACAACAAAATAAAAAGTTCTACTGATGTTGATGTTGTTGTGGAAAAGAAGCAGATGTCCAACAATCTTCATCATTTGTAGCTACTGCTGGAAATGATGGTAAGTCTTAAATATGTGTACATTTGTTTCTAATAGTGCATGGATAATTGATTATGGTGCTACTGATCATATGACATTTGATTCTAGGCATGGTCTAACCTAAGTCATCCTCACAAAACTTTGTTTCTACTGCCAATGGTGAATCTAACCGGTCATTGGGGAAGGTTCGTTAACCTAAAAAACTCTTTATACTTAGATTCTGTCTTAGTTGTCCCATCCCTAAATTATAACTTGTTGTCAGTCTCCAAATAACCAAAAGCTTACAATGTGTGGTGATTTTTTGGCCTGAATTCTGTGAGTTTAAAAGTATTCAACAAAGCAGACGATTTGTTGTGGTATTAGACAGGGGCAATTGTATTACTTGGATTTAGAGTCACAAAGTTCTACCGTGTTACAACAGGCTTTGACTGTAGATTACTCTAAAAGGGAAACAAAAATCCGACATTTGGTTATGGCATTGGCGCCTCGGACATGCTTCGTTCGGTTATCTAAAGAAACTTTTTCCAAGTTTGTTTGAAAAAAATGATATCAGTAACTTCCGCTGTGATGTTTGTGAACTATCAAAAAACCATCGAGTCCTATTTCCAACAGCAATCACTAAAAGTCCCAGTCCTTTTATGCTTATATATTCAGATGTCTAGGGGCCATCACCAGTTACTACTTTAGGTGGATCTCGTTGGTTTGTTACTTATTGATGACTGTACAGAATGACTGGGTATGTCTAATGAAACTAAAGGGGAGGTTAATTTACTCTTTCAGAGATTTCACAAAATGGTTCGTACGCAGTTAATGCACAGGTTCAGATCCTTCGAAGTGACAATGGAGGAGAATATCAAAGTTCATATCTTCAACAGTACTTAGCAACACATGGTATCATTCATCAGACTACTTGTCCAAACACCCCAAAAAATGTGTTGCTGAGTGGAAAAATCGACACTTATGGAGATTGTTCGTGCCTCATTAATAGAGGCTCACATGCCGTTATCTTTTTGGGGAGAAGCACTTACTTCTGCAGCCTACCTAATCAATGGGTACCCTCTAGTTCTCTTCGGTTTGAGACAGTTTTCAGGCTCTTGGTAAGCAGTGAATACTCCAATGGTCCCGAACTTACCGCCTCATGTTTTTGGCTGTATTGCATTTGTTCACCTCCATAAACATCAACGTAATAAGTTGTCCCCTCGTGCATGAAATGTGTTTTTTGTTGGGTAGGTGTTCATCAAAAGGGTATCGATGTTATTATCCTCCAACTCAACAGACGTTTGTAACGATGGATGTTGTTTTCCATGAGAGTTGATGTATTTTCCTTCTGAGTCTGAACTTCAGGGGGAGTTTGTCAAGAAGAAATTCAGACTCTGACTATGCAGTTCAAGATGACGTTCAAGATGTGGGAGACTATGAGTCACAAACTAGACCTATTGTTCGACAAGAGAGAAGTGGATGATGGTAATGTGGAGGTGGTATCAAACCGACCGTAGAAGCTTCTCAGTCCGAGTCTCTTATTCCTGGTATGTCACACCATCATTTGTTGAGAATATTCCTGATTTAGAGTCTGAACCAATTAGGAAAGAGTTACCACCACGTAGTACTAGAGGGATTCCAACAACATACGAACCAAAGCTATCTAGTAAGTCAATACTCCAGAGTCATTATGTGTCTAACCATCGTCTATCAGAATCGAATATGTCATTTGTGAATCATTATCTACTGTATCTATCCTAACAGTGTGCAGGAAGCCTTATCTGATCCAAATGGAAAGTTGCTATGAATGAGAAATGAAATCGTTACAGAAGAATGGACTTGGGAACTTGTTGATCGTCCACCCGAAAAAAGACTGTTGGATGTCGATGGGTTTACACTGTGAAGTATAAAGCTGATGGTACAATTGAGAGATTCAAGCAAGACTAGTAGCAAAGGGTACACCCAACCCACGGATCGACTATACAGAGACATTTGCACCCGTAGCTAAATAAACACGGTACGTGTCTTATTATCTTTAGCTGCAAACCTGGATTGGCCATTACAACAGTTCGATGTGAAGAATGCTTTCCTACATGGAGAATTGTCTGAAGAAATCTATATGGATCCTCCACCAAGGTGTATTTTACCAGTGAAACATAGCCAAAAGGTATGTAAGTTAAAGAAGTCATTGTATGGGTTAAAACAATCTCCGAGGGCATGGTTTGGGAGATTCACCAAAGCTATGAAGTTTTTTGGTTACCATCAGAGCAATTCAGATCACACACTATCCTTAAAAACAACAAGGAAAGATCACTGCACTTATTGTATATGTGGATGATATGGGTTACAGGAAATGATCCAGAAGAAAGGAAGGCATTGCAAAGTACTTATCAGAAGAATTCGAGATGAAGGACTTAGGTTCTTTGAAATATTTTCTCGGAATTGAAGTGTCTAGATCTAACAGAGGTATCTTCTATCACAAAGAAAGTATGCCTTGGATGTGCTACAGGAACATGGTATGTCAGCATGTCAACCAGCTGTACACCAATCGAAGAAGGCTTGAAATTAGGAGTCGAGACTGATCAAGTACCAGTTGACAAGGGAGATACCAGAGACTTGTGGGAAGACTGATTTATTTGTCTCACACTAGGCCAGATCTTGCTTATGCATTAAGTATAGTCAGTCAGTTCATGCATAATCCTGGAGAGCAGCATATGAACGCAGTTATGCGTATCCTGAGATATTTAAACATGCTCCTGGAAAGGGAATTTTATTTTCTAAAATAAAGACTACCAAATGTGCATGCATATACTGATACTGATTGGGCTGGAGTGTGGATGACAGACGATCTACTTCTGGTTATTTCACTTTTGTAGGAGGTAATCTAGTCACGTGGAGAAGCAGAAACAGAATGTTATGGCATGTTCAAGTGCTGAAGCGAATTTAGGGAATGGCACTTGGGATTTTTGAAGCTTTGTGGCTAAGATTTCTACTACAAGATGGGTATCAACCTAATCAACCAATCCAGTTATATTGTGACAATAAAGCAGCATGTGACATTGCTCACAATCCAATTCAACATGATCGTACGAAGCACGTTGAAGTAGATAGATTTTTCATCAAAGAAAAACTGGATGAAAAGATTATTGAACTACCCAAGATTCGATCGAGGATCAATTGGCCGATATTCTTACCAAGGCCGTCTCCAAACGTATTTTCTCACAAGTGTTAGACAAGTTGGGCATGTGTGACATCTACGAACCAACTTGAGGGGAGTGTTAAGATTTTCATAATATTTTGTACATATTTTGTAATCAAGTGAATATTATGTAATCTTTTAGTTATGTCAGGTATACGATCTCAGAATATTCTAGAGATTATGTAATCTCCTAATTATGTAGACAAAATATTGTGTAATCACAATTGACATAATTAGGAGATTTAGGAGATCGTATACTCCATATAAAGGGGTAACTCCTTAGTGATAAATCAATGAATTGAAAACCAATTCTTTCAAACAAACAATCCTCGCTTCTAAGCATTCTCATCTCATCACAGAGACTTCGTACGTATATCAGATCGCCTTGAGATAGCTTATATGTCGCATGTATTCTTGAAATCCTCTGCAATAAAAGAAAAAGAAAACTTTTCAGACTTTTTTTTTTTTTTTTTTTTGTTGGTTGGAATATTATTTTTTACTTGAAAATTTATTTTAGTTTTCTGCTACTTACCGTCTCTCCCTACTGCTAAGGAGATAGTCTGCGATGAGAAAGAAGTGATATAAGCTGTAATGAGAAGAGATCCATATTGTATTTTGATAGCGCGTACTGAGGAATGCCTTGGAACTCTTCTTTCAAAGCATCCCATGCCTCTTTCGCCTTCTGAGCACGAGAAATTTTGCGGAAAATATTATCATCCACCGCTTGTTGAAGGATGAAAAGTGCTGCTGCATCATTTTTCTTACTTTCTTTCAACTGCTTCTGATGTTCTTCGGATAGAGTGGAGATGGTGAT